CAGTTGACTATAGTCAACTGAAACCCATGCGGTTACACGCACGTATCATATAAAATTTTTTTTCGACATATGTGCATGAAAAAATCAACTTTTTTTTACTAATTTTCATGTGTGAAGTAGATCTTTTTGGGTGTATTCTAGAGTAGTTAAAAAAGTCCACTTTTTTCACTTGTGAAAAAAACAATGTAAAAAAGTACACCACTCGACTTTGCGTAGCCTATGACTCTCGCTAAAAACATCGTACCCCTCGTCCATATCCCCCCAATTAATACACTTCTAACGTAAGATACTATTTCGGCTTTGTGACAAAAATAGCTCTTTTCTCAATATCTCAAAAAGAAAGTAACTGAATTGGATTTTTGTTTTCTGTCAAGATATTCATCACGATAATATGTATAAAATCAAATACAAATATTGTTATACCACTGAGAACGGTTTGGTAATAATCGGGATTATTCATTTTTATGAAGACATCATTGTGCGCACGATAACTTTCGAGAAAAAAAGTAAGAAGTTGAAATTTGGTAAAATTGTAGCTCGTATGATATTACAGGATGAAATTGTCTATCTCTGGCAGAATCAGAGGTCGGTGTGGTTTATTCCCCTTACCAATATGAATAGCTTTCTGAGTAGTTATCATCTGCGGAACCATTCGGAAGCTTATTACCAATGGAATAGGTAGAAAAGAAAAAGTCAATGTCACATGGCTTTTGCCAAACAGGCTTACAACCCTGCTTGTTCTGATCAATAAATTGATAGTAATTTTCCAAATAGTTTCAGTTTCTTTTTTTGATGAGTTCTTACGAGCTAAATCGAATTGATTGAGTAGTCTTTAAGATATGGCAAATTCCACAGAAAACCGTTTAGTTATTTGGTGCCATGTTTCCGATTTTTTCGAATTTTGAAGGCTCGCATGCAATTATCAGCCCGTTGATATCCATTATGTAGATATGATGACGGGTAATTGTGAATGGGTACGTGCACTCTGTATATGATTTAATGGACTCGAAAGAATTCATGAATCCCGTAAAAGCTCCAGAGCGTTAATTCTACACTATTATTCTCTTTTTGTTTTCAAATAGAAGCTTTGTAATCGTTGATTTTTACGATTTCCGAATTTTGCTTGGAAATGACGTACAGAATGTCATAAAACGTGAAGATGTTTTCAGAAAATGTCTATATGTATTCCTGTATGTGTACGCATTTTTCAGAAAATTTTTGCAAATCTTTACAGAAAAAGGATTGAAGTTGAAGCTAACAATCTGAAATTTTGTCAATAATTGATATTATTTTTGAGAAATTCTAGGCGCAATTCCAGCTCAATCGTTTGAGTAGTTTTCGATATACAGCAATTTCTCAAAAATCTTTTTTCCTCAATATTTCAAAAACTACGTGACTGGACTCAATTTTTCTGACGTTAAAATATGCCTTGCGATATCATCTACCAAATCCAATCAGAGTATCACTATGTAGCTGGAAGTAGTTGGATAATTATCGGCATTATTCATTTTCATGATGAAATCGGTATGTCCTCGATAATTCCCTGAAAAATTATGATGAGAAGTTGAAATTTAGTACGATTGTAGCTGTTATGAGATTACAGGATGGGATTGTGGATGGGTCGAATCGAATGAGTAGTTTACAAGATATTCAAGTACACGTGAAAAATATTTCGCTCAATATCTTCCGAACTACTAGTCCGATTTCTTTTGCTTCCGAAAGGAAGCATTGAAATCGGTCAATTTTTAGATTCTCTAATTTTTACTTGGACAGAATATAGAATGGTCAGAAACGTAAAAATATGAAGTGTGAAGACCACGTGTATGTACGGGTGTCCGCCTGGTGATCATTTTTTTTAGAAAAACTAAGGAATAGAGGGCTAAAATAATGTCGAAACAAGCAGGGGTTCGACCCTATCCCACAGAAACCATACCTCACAGAAGAGAAAAGCGAAGTCAGACGAGAATTCCACGGTATTATTCTAGTTTTGCTTCCGAATGGAAACTTTATAATCGTCCATTTTTACCATCTAATTTTGTTTGAAAATGATGTACAATGTTATGAAACGTCATGATATGTTTTTAGAAAATGTGTGTGTATTTTTGAAAAAACCGGCCAAGTACGCCTTTGCAAGCATTGTATTAAAAAAAAAAAAAAAAATTGTATTATTTCTCAGCAAAAAAAAATTGAAAAAAAATTGTATTGTTTCTCAGAAAAAAAATTGAAAAAATGCCGAGTAACCATTTTAATGCGTTGTTGTGGAAAAATGCCCGAGTACTTATGGATAATTGTTTCTGGAAAATTGAAAAAAGTGTAGAAATAAGGAAAAGCGCCAAGTTCATGAAGTTGAACTTGTGATTTTGAAAAACCACAGGA